GATGCTTTACTGTCTTATTAATATTGGCTTCCCTTGTGTACTATTGTAAAATAGACATTTGAGGGGGAAAGAAAGGAATATCCGGAAACATGATTATAGAAAGCTTGTAAGCCCGTGTTCAGCCTATAACTCACTGGAATACCTAAAAGGGATTCTAGAACTTGTCCAGTGAAACAGGCTTCTTGCAGGGCCTTTGTAGTATATAGGACCTTAGGTAGAATCCTGAGCCCCATTCAGAAGCTTCTGAGGTGGGACATTCCCACTTGAAAGGACAAGCAGACCAGACTGGAGCAGCTAGAGGAACAGAAGGTAATTCTTGGGAAAAAAAAATAATAAACCAGCAGGAAAAATCAAAAACAAAAATGGCAGTCTGATTAGCTACAACAAGAACAAGCAAGTTGTTTGCCTGGGAGCCATCAAGGCAAGCAATCAAGTCCCTTCAAGACAAACCTTCCCTCCAAGACTGAAACTCAAAGGGAACACATAAGCAGGCATGTAAGCTTGCTTGCTGGCAACCACGTTGGTTTCCTAGTGAGTAGAAGTGTGGGAAAGACAGCAATGAAAATATGGGCTGAGTTCAACCATGTTTCATAGCCTCACGTCGACCTGGAGATGAAAGAAAGAAGAGGAAGGAATAGTTGGTCCAAAGTATGGTGAGACCTGGGAACTCCTGAGCCCATGGTCAAGGACATAGCCACAGAGGGCTAGAGCTAAGAGTGAAGCATTCAGCTGATACAAAGTGAGGGGAGATGCACAAGAACACCCAACCTTGAAGACAGTTCCCATTTGACCTAGCTTGGATGGCTTGATGATCAGAACTCGACTAGAGGAATATAAAAAAATTTGATAAAGGAAACAATTGTAAATTGTTACAATTTGAGGAACTTGACCTATACTTATGGATGTACTAGCTTAAAATACCAAGTGAGAGGGAAGAAATCTTCACATTCAGGATCAAGGATCAATCCTATCCCTCTGTGCACAGAGTTGATAGGTACGGGCAACTCAGACATTGGCTACTTAAGATGGGGGTTGGGGACAGGGGCTATAAAGGCGCGAAGTGACTGGCTTACAAGTTTTCAAGAGTTTAGTTTCAGAGTGTGTGAGGGAAGGCAGAGTCCCCACTGAATAGTTTTCATCTTGTCTAGACAGGTCTGGTGAAAAGAGATAAGAATAAGATTCTTATGATTTAATAGTGAGTAATTGTTATCATTTGCTTTGGCTTCTCTACGTTGGAGAGCAGGTTACAGAGTCTCTTCTGACATCCATCTTGATCTTTTCCTTCTTTCTTGTCTTCTTAATGACTTTTTGCTCTCTTCATGTATGATA